TGACTTGATGGCACCTGACAACAATTTAATTTAATTTAATTTAATGTGGCTCAAATTACATTTCCATAGGACCTCACCAAATAAGCATTCTTACGCAGTCTAATCATTAATGACACAAGGTGAACATTCAGGTATATTTAAAACCCAAAGTCCCATTTCTTCTTTCTAGCTCTCGGCCCATTATTTTAAGACATTATATTAACTTTAGCCCAAAGGGATGGATTCTAACTGAACAGGATGTTGTTGTTGTTAAGTGCTGTTGATGCATGGTGACCCTGTATAGGGTTTCCAAGAAGCAGCAGGTGGGTTTGAACTACCGACCTTGGGGTATGCAGTCCAGTGCAGATCCTATGCCACACCAGGAGTCCTAAATTGGCATATGTTGCTGTTAAGTGCCTCTGCAAGTGCTTAATAAATACTAACTGAAGTTAATTAAAGTTGACACAGGATTGGGCAGTGTTTCATTCTGCTGTGCATAGGATCGCTGAGTTGATACCAGCTCTGTGGCACCTACCAACAACTGGTTTGTCATTCAATGTACTAGGTACACTTCTCAGCTTTGTGATTTATATAAATTGGATGTGTTTGCCTAAATCAGTGTTCTCATTCAAGAGCTAGAAAACATGTATACAAAGTATGTCTTACCCTGCCTCCTGGGGAGCTCTGCAGCTCCTTAGTATAACACTAGACTGTGAACCAGAAGGTTGGCAATTCAATCCCATTAGTCTCTTTGTGGGAGAAAGATGAGGCTTTCTACGCCTGTCAAGAATTATAAGCTCCAGAAACCCTACATACAGTTGCTATGAGTTAGAACCGATTCGATGGCACATAACAACCCCACCCCTGAAAAATGACCAAATTCTACTATTGGTGGTAATGGTTTTGTGCTATGGAGTCGATTTCTACTTGTAGTGACCCTGTACAGGGTTTCCGAGGCTGTAAATCTTCTTGGGTGCACAGAGCCTCATCTTTCTCCCACGGAACAGCTGGTAATTTTGAACTAGTGATCTTGAGGTTAGCAGGCCGACTCTTAACTGTTACGCTACCCGAGCTCCTGGATCACTAGAGGCCTCAATTCAGTATGAAGATCATTTGAATATTCGGGCTGAATAACTTAAAAAACAACAACAAAACTCTCATGTCTCCTTTGACTCTTACACATAGGGCTATTACAGCAGGTTTAGCACAATGCTTCAGATTAGAAATCTCCTTGAGGCCAGGGTCCTTGCCTTTTATTAAAAAAAAGAATCAATGTTCCACTGATTTCTAGCACCTGCTATGTACACAAGGAGCCTGAGTGTTGCAAACAGTTAAGCACTTGAGTACTGGTGCTTGGTTGATAGTTCAAACTAACCCAGAGGTATAATGACAATTTGCTTCCAAAATGTTCGACCCTTGAATATCTTGAAAAGCAATTCTATTCTGCACTAGGGCCTCAAACTGGCCCAGACTGATCCCCTACTGAGCATGCCTGTCCACCCCAGATGCACTGAATACAAACGTGCAATTTAACAAGATTCTCAGGTGATTCTGCGTGTAACCTGGGGCTCTAGTTAAAATGTAGCTCTGGATTCAGTATATCCGAGGTGGAAAGGCAATTCTCACAAGTGTTCAAATGAGAAGGACTGTCCTGAAGCCCTCTTCTACACAAGAGTTTGCCAAGAGCTGCCATTAAATCGATGGTAACCAATAATAATTCGGTGGTATTGTTAAGTGCCAGCGAGCTGGTTCCAAGTCACAGCGACCCTATATACTGTTTCCAAGGAGTGGCTGATGGGTTTAAAGTGTCCACCTTGCGGTTAGTTACAAGTCCAGTACTTACCCTATAGTGCCACACCCAGACTCTACTCAAACAGAGGTCATATTTAAACATAAAATCTATAAATTCCTATCCCCACAGTAAGGGAAAATGTGGGATAACGTAAGGGCACTTGTATTTTACTCAGACACCAACAAACTGAAACTATAACTTGTTTCTTTTCATAGAATAACTATGAATGCAGTCCAATTTATAATTTATGGTGCTTTAGATGCTAAATTGAATTTATAATGTCAAAACAATTTACGATCCTGAGTAAAAGATGCTTATAATGGTTTTGGTGAGAAAGCTATTTTAAATTAAACTTTGAAAACTGTTTTTGTTGTTAAGTACCGTCAAGTTGTTTTAGACTCACAGAGACCCTGTAAAGGGATTCTGAGGAGTGGGTGGGGAGTTTGAATCATTGACCTTTTGGTTCAAATCGACCTTTTAGTTGAGTGCTTATCCTACAGTGCCAAACCCCTACCAAATCACCTAAATGAATAACCATAATTTGAGAAATAAGCTTCTATGAGTAATATTTTGGTAAAGAAAGGATTAACCAAGATTCTTGATGGTTGAACCCTCGCTGTTCACAATCTCTTACACGGAGAGCTTGCTTGCCCATGAGAAAACATGCTGTGCTCGCACCACAATCACTCTGGCTTTGGCTGTTCTCATATGGGACTGCGTTCAAGTGTCATCACTGTTCCAGTCAATGACACTAAAATATACACGGCTCACAAAGTGCCAGCTACCATTTTGTGAATTGTTGTTGTTAAGTGCCACTGAGTAGGTTTCCGACTCACAATGACCCTACTAATTATTCACAAAACCTTGCTAAGTATTATTTCCGTATGTTAGATGAGGGGGTTAAGTACCCTGCTCAAGGTCAGATAGCTACTAAGAGGTAAAGTCAGGTCGAAAGAAAAACTCAGGCGCTCTGCCTCCAAAGTTGATGTTTTTAATGAAGCTGCTGTATTCCCTGCTCCACTGATGTAATCTCAGGCTTTGTGCCTTCTAATTGTAACCTTTTGACATGTAAAAAGCAGGCAAGCATGCTGATAGAAAAGTGGAATCTTAAGAAGATAAAACATGTTGAAGGACTGATTTTTAGGATCTCAACAGTAGCTTGTTTTCTATATCAGAGTAGAACGAATAAAAACTGCGATTAATTGCATCCCACCAATTGGAGTCTTTTCCAGCATCTGTGTAATATTTACATACTCTAAGCCATGATAACTGGGAACGTCCTGTTCAACGGTTCTTTATCGAGTCCTGGTGTAGTACTGCAGGCTACTATGCTGGACTGCAAACTGGGTCTAAATCGTAAGGTTGGTGGTGCAAGCTCACCAGCCGCTCCTTGGGAACCGTATACAGGGTCGCTATGAGTCGGAACTGACTCAACAGCGCTTAACAACAACAATGGTTCTTTATGTCATTTTTTTTTTTTTTAAACATTCAAACCCAATATAGTAATTTCAAAGCTTAGCTGTGCTTTGTGCTAGAACTTTTTTTATCAATGAGGTTATCATCATTTTCAACCATTGCAGTTCTATAGACTAACCTGAAATGTACACGTGCCAATGACCACATAATTATTGCCACCATATGCAATTAGGTTTCCTGAATCCCCACTCTCAAAGGGATTAAATTCTACCACATGAACATAATCTTCACAATCCACAGTGTAGGCAGCATTTTTGGTGGCATCTTGCTTCATCTTGTATGTCAAAACTTGAGCAGTGACAAAAACAAAATCGCCTTCTATTCAACAAGGTCACGGAACTGTGGGCTATAGCACAAAAGAATTAGAAACAGTCAAAGTATTAGCCACTCAGCAAATAAATCAAAATAAAAACGTGACACTGCATTACCACAGATGGCTTAAAAGGAATGAAACATTTAAAGTACTTATTATAAAAACAGCAGGAAAATGATTGAATCAAATTATTCATGATGCAATACATGCTTTACAGTTTTCCTCTTTTCCACATTTGTGAACGATACTCTGCAGAGTAAATCATAGTAAAACTGTGTTTAGATTATCTAAAAGAAACGGTGAGCACTTGAAAAGGGGACCAATTTGATATCAAATATATTCATAAAAATTAATAGCTAGCATTTACTGAGAAGTCCTGGTGTGGCTCAGTGGATTAATGCGCTGGACTGTAAGGTCAGTTTGAACCACAAGGTCGGCGGTTCAAGCTCACCAGCTGTTTCTCGAAAACCCTTTGCAGGGTCACTAGGGGTCTGAATGGACTCTAAGGCACTGAGCAACAATGACTATGGGCAGGTACAATTTATGGTCCCCATTTCGCAGGTGAAGAAAGCTTTAAGAGGTTAGGTAACCTCACAAGCTCCAAAGTGGCGCCAGGATTTGAAAGACTTTTCTGTATGTTGGGCACCAATGATAGAAAACATAAGACAACCATCCAAAGACAGTTCTGATTCAGCGTGAATAGTACTGTAACTGAAGCATATACAAGTATAACAGAATCTGGAGGAAGGAGTGTCAAAATGGGTGAAATGAATATTCATAAAACCAGACACAAAATTTCAACGGACAAGTCTGGGCTTTGTGTGCATTCTGCAAGAAGCAGTCTCAGATAAAAAATTATGGATTTAAAGAGTTGTGACTTTTTTTTTTTTTTTAATTAGACGCAACAATTTTACACGTCTAAAAATATCTGGATTAACAAAACCATCAAACATCTAACAGGCATTTAATGAAAACTAGTTGAAATGAGTCCCACTGCAGAGAGCTAATAAACTAGCACCCTTAAGAATGGGCACCCGGGACTGGGCATTTTTGTTAAGGGTAACCAGCAGCTGAGATGCCCAAGGAGACACAAAGATGTGCCAAGCCAGTAGACTCGCGGAAAACTCGGCCCCGGCTTCGGACCTATTTTTCCTTAAAGAGTATACGATCCTATAACAATTCTTAGAGATTCACAGTAGACGCCGGTCTAGACTTGCCGCTCTAAAACTGGAAGAGCAGAAAAGAAGGTGTGAGCAAGGATAGTTCCTACAGGGAGCTCCGCCGTTCACCCCGGCCAGGAGCTTCCCAAGAGAGCCTGCTCCCGCTTTCCCAGATCTGCGGCTGTAGGCAGGAGAGCCCAGGGAGAGGTGGAAGCTTACGGGCCGAGTGGAAGCGTTGGGCCGCAGGCCACAAAGCGGCACAGTCCTTGGACACCCCGAGCTATACGCACCGGAGGGCAATGAGTCGCAAGCAGAGGGAAGCCGGTCTCCACTGGGAGCCGCAGTGGCACGTTGTGACTCTGCTTCCGGGTCGGAGGGCGAGCGCGGCGATTGGCTCGTGAGCCTCCCCGCGATATTTGAAATATAACCTGAGGCCGGCGGCTGGAGCTGTCGTTAGTAGATGTCTTGGTAGCACTTTTTCTCAGATAAGTCTGCACTTCTGGAGTCTCTCTTGAACCAGGTGAGTGTCGCCTCTTCCCAGGCTATCCTGGTCGCCTGTCGCAATCTAAGTAATGATTCAAGCTGAGGCTTGTGAGGATATTTCGAGGACACCCATGGTACATGTGACTGGGTGGGGATATTAGTTGTGCAGTGCTTGTTGGGTCTGGGGGCTTTGGACAAAGTTCACAATATGCGGTGATGGAGCTGGAAGGTCCCGTGGTCTCGTCTGCAGGTTGGAAGACTGACGTCCAGATAGGACAGTCCACTAGGCAGCAAACCAGAGTTGTAGTCACAACACGGACTGATTCTAAATTCAAATACGCCCCCTTTTGATATTCTTCCAAGGAACATTGTTGTTGTCTCTAGGTCAGGGGTTCAAGCTCACCAGCCGCTCAGGGTCGCTATGGGACGGAAGCGACTCGGCGGCACTTAACAACAACAACCCAGTGATAGTTTCCTCTCAAATTGTAGCTCCAGTGCGGCTTTGAATTAAAATTTTTAAAAAATTGTAGTGCATGTAAGTATCGAAACAGTAACCACTTTAATGATTTTTACTTGTGCAGTCCGTGTCATTAATTACGTTCACCCATGTGCAACCATCACCGCTGGAAATCCAGTTTTTAAAAATGAATGTTTATTATCGCTACCAACTTCTACTATTTTTATATAGTTCAGTCTGACTTTGAGACCTCTTGTTATTCATTATCTCTTTGAGCCCCCATTGCTTGGTTGGTAGATAAAATAGACAGAGTGTTCTCATTGTGATGATACTTATGAACTAGATGGGAAGTTTGTAGCCTAGCTTCATATTACGGGCTCAAATAATTGGAAAAAAGAAAAGAAGAATGTTTTGTTACACGTGAAAACGATATGACATTACAATTTCCATGTCTGTAAAGTTTTATTGGAACATGATCCAACTTAGCTGCAGTCATTCCTTTATCAATATTGGCCATGCTACTAGGGAAAGTTGAAGGAACCCTGGTAACCTAGTGAATTAAGAGTTGGGCTGCTAACCGTCAGGTCAGCAGTTCAAATCTACCAGTGGCTCCTCAGGAGAAAGATGAGGCCTTCTGCTTCTGTAAAGATTTATAGTATTGGGTGGCTAGGAATTGGAACTCTTAGCACATAGTCACTACCTCCACCAGGGTAAGTTGAGTCTCTGCAACAGAGACCACATATCCTGCAAAGCCACAAAGATTTACTGTTAGGCTCTTTTCTTTCTTTTTTTTTTTTGTTAGGCTCTTTTCAAAAAAATGTATTGTTGACCTCACAGCTATTAACTGGTTGACCCAGGATTTAGAACAGTTGAATTCTGGAATTCTTCACAATGTGGGCTCATAATACCTTTAAAGACAGTAAATAATTTGTTGGTAAAGACTTATTTTACACAAAGTGATCATGCTGCTCAAACTAAATCTTTTTTTTTTTGGCTCCACACATTTGAAAAGAAAATACTTGTTTCCCCTGCTGTCTAAAAGTATTGTTCCTATGAAAGTTTTCATGAGTTTAAATAGCAGAAAGCGAAGAAGCAATTACCATTAATTTATATGGGAAATTATTTTGAGCATTCTCCACACACAACCTATCAAATCATACCAACTACACATAAAACTTAAAATAACACTTACTGTGTTCACAGGCTCAGTTCAAAGCTATGATGATTTGCTGCTATAATGCTGAGTGTAGTTCCTGGGGAGGGAGCTTGGTTAATCTACTCCTTCTGCTTGGGTCCATGTTGCTTCTTAAACGGCTCACTGCAAAACAAACACTGAACACTCATTTTGCCTTAAAACTTTTTTGCAAATGTGAAAATCCTCTTGGGAATTTTTCCAGCTAGGGAAGGTTCTAATGTTGGTCTTTCATAAAAGCTAAGTGGTGTAAGGTGAACCTTGAAAAGCAAGAGGTAGCCTTATAACTCTTGGCTATTTATGAGGGGTTACGGGAGGAGGGTTCAAAGAATTATAGAAAATGGAATGAAAAGATAATGGAATTTTTCCACACATAATTTTGAAGTGCCCTCATATGTATTTATGCAGATATTTGATTCTGGCCTCGTATCTCTAGATTCATATTGTGTCACTGATTGTTGTTGTTGTTAAGTGCCGTAGTTTTCAAAGAGTGGCTGGTGGGTTTGAACTGCCAACCTCATAGTTAGCAGTCAAGTGCTTATCCTACAGCACCACACCAGGACATATATAAACTCTTTCTATTTTGACTCAACTCATTTTGTCAATGGCACGTGCCCTTTTTCTTCATTCAAACCCAAGGTGCCTAGTAAACTTGGGTTTTTGTTTATGCAACATAAAGTAGAACAAGGCTACAAAAGCAAAACCAGCAAAGGAAAGAGGCACATGGGGTGGGGGCGGCAAACTAAGAGAGACCAGGTATAAGCTTTCTAGACTCCTGTCTCCGTGGAGTCACCTGTTGTGGTAGTTAAGTGCCGTTGAGTCGATTCTGACCCATAGCGACCTTGTGTAGGGTTTCTGAGGAGCAAGCAGCTGGTGAGCTTAAACTGTGACCTTGCAGTTCAAACGACTTTGCAGTCTGGAGCATTAACCCACAGTGCCACACCAGGACTCTGTGGAGTCCCATAGGACATGCTTAATTTCCCAGCAACAAGTTGAGATGTCAAATGAGAAATGCTGCCAACCAAGAAAGCTCAAAAAAGACTGTGTCCAGAGTTTTTATTGTGGGCTAAACACCTTGATAGTGTTTGGGGAAATTCTAGACTCGGGGAAGGAAAGCAGATGTTCAGCATAAAGTATATTGATATTGTTTGTGCAGTTTAGCCATGGTGAGCCACTCTTACCAATTAATGTCTATGGGAACTCTTCTGAAATCTAAGTTCACAAACACCTGCCAATGGCCAACCTTGTAAGCAGGCCTCTCAAAGGATAGCAGTCAGGCCTGCTATTTATTTTAGCTCCTTTTGGCATAAGCTTTTAGAAGCCTAGATTGAGTACTTCTAGAATGTTATTTGCCTCATAATCTATTGGACAAAACAAGGCATAAGCATGGACCAGATTCAGATAGATGGAAAAGTAGATAATTTCTTTTGGAGGGGAGGGAAGAAGACAATATAGAGATGGGTTTTTCTTTCCCTGCAATTTACCACAGACACTACCATCCACTGAAAACAAATTAAAAATCATATATAGCTTTAATTAGTTATTCCTTTGTCTATAATTGTTTGTAGAATTTGCACATATTTTGCATGGATTTTCAGATGTTGATATTTTTTAAAAATTGACTTAAGACAAGTAAATGAGAGGAAAATATGGTTGGGCAGGAATTGCATTGTTATTTTGTTTTCCCAAATTAAAGTCAGCCTTGGTCAATATGAAATTATGTCCTGTTCAGGGATTTTGTTTTTTCTAATTCTGTTTACACATGTTAAGTGTTAGTTACTTTCCAATTAAACTAAGGCAATTTAACATTGTATCCTGTTCTACTTTAAGAGGATGGCTGTGCTTTATCAGAAGGCTGTCTTGGATCTAATCAAGGAGTTGAGATGGAATTGGCACGCTCTTTGTAACTCTGAGAGAACTACTATATGTGGTGCAGATTCCATGCTTTTGGCATTGCAGCTTTCCATGGCAGAGAACAACAAACAGGTTAGTAAACTATATTTGGATCAGCTGTCTTTGCGTGTGTACCTGAGTTTTTGTTGCTGATCATGTTAATAAGCTTAATTATGTTAATTTTTTGTAACATAGGCTTTCCTATGACAATATCAAATGGTATATTTGAAAACGCCTATGTGTGACTGAAGATATTAAGTACTTTGATGAGCAGCACATGGGATCTGAAAAGCTTGTGAGTGGCCATCTAAGGTGCAACTATTGGTCTGTCCCATCTGTAGCAATGAAGAGTGAAGGAAATTGAAGACACATGGAAACAATTAGTCCTGTCAGTGAATGGACCTCCACCTCCATGAGGCCAGAGCCAATTGGTACCTGCTGACCACTACTGAACACACCGACTGCTCTGAAAGGGATCCCATTAGAAGGTCCCGGGTGGCAGAAAACTGAAACAAAATTGAAAACATTAAAAAAAAAAAAAAAGACCAGGCACACTGATCGCCTAGAGACTGGTGGAACTCTGAGCCTATGGCCCGTAGTCACCCTGCAGGTCTGAGTTGAACTAACCTTCATGGCTCAAGTTTCAGCCAAACAATGACTACTAGGTCTGTAAGATGAACAATCATAATAAGGAGGTAATGCATTCAGATAACCAACCATTTAGGCTCAAAAGGGCAGCATTTGTCAAAGGATAAGATTCAGAGTTCAGGAAAGGTTAAGAAAGAAGAAGGAATGGAAATGGGAAACATAGGAAGGAATTAGGATGAATGATGTTAAATTGTGGGGATTGCAGTCTGTCATAAAACAAAAAGTCTATGAATTGTTAGATGGAAAACTGATTTGCTCTGTAAGCTTTCACACAATTAACAATAAAATGCTAAAAGAAAAAAAAAGGATTAAGGCCTTCAGGTGTACAATTTGACATGGGACATGCCTACTAGGGGACTTCAAAAAGTTCATGGAAAATTCAATTATTTTTAATTCCATTTTCCCATGAACTATTTGAAGCCCTATTGTATTTGGTATTGAATGAAAGTCTTAAAGATGCAACTCTTATGGTGGTTATGGTTAAAGTTTATTTTATAAAGCCTTTTGTCTCCAAAAAAAGTTCTAGAAGGCACACATAAATAATGTATATTTAAATATAGCCACAGAGTACTTTATGATTAGTTTAAGTTGGAAATGACTCAACGGCAATAAACAACAATAACGTGGTAGAAATAATTGTTCTCAGGTTAAGCTGTGAAAGAGATCATTTGCGGAGAGTTATAAACAAATATTGGCCTATATGTACCATGGCTGGAAATTCCGATTCTCCTGATCTGCATTGAGACCTTATGAAGTGTGGTTTTTTTGTTTTGTTCTTAAGTCTTCACCAAATGTTTCCTATATAGCTAGCTTGGTGGACTAAACTGTGGCTAAGGGAGTAGGATGAAGTGCTGGTGTGGCGCTGCAGGATAACGTGCTCAACCATAAGGTCTGTTTGAACCTCACCAACTGGTCCTTGGAAACCCTATACAGGGTTGCTATGAGTTGGAACCGACTCCACGGTACTTGGAAACAACCACCACACAAGGGGATAGGATGGTTAGACCAGAGAAGGATGAGCATAGGCTGGAGTGGTAAGAAAATGGTCCTTAGGTTTCATGTGGTCTACTCAAAAGATGGTTAGTGTTTGGATGGGAAGAATTTAGAAGAGGCATGAAGGAAAGGGAAATGTCGTTCAGAAGGGTCCAAAACCTATTGCTGTTGGGTCAGTTGCAACTCATTGTGACTAGAGTTTCCAAGGCTGCAATACTTTGTAGAAGTCCATGGTGGGTGTCAGTGGCTGATTTTTTGGTTAGCAGCTGACTGCTTTAACCACTGTGTCACCAGGACTCCTTAGCAGGGTCCAGAGGGATCAAAATTGCCAGGTCTTGTCTCCTTTCGAGCACCTTGTGGGCTCAGACTGTTAGACTTTCAGTTAGTTGCTGAGTGCTTTACCACTGCACCACCAGGGCTCCAGTGTTAATGTATTTAAAACAACATATATTAAGATAAACTTTTTTATCTTGTTATATGTAGCCAGTCATTCTTCCAAATATATTTATTCACATTTTACTGTACTTGGGGTGTGTGTGTGTGTGTGCTGTGGAGTTGGTTCTGACTCATAGCGACCTGCATAGTGTTTCTGCGGCTGTAAATCTTTATGGGAGCAGAAAACCTCATCTTTCTCCCAAGGAACTGCTGGTAGATTTGAACTGCTAACCTTCTTGTTAGCAGCCCGACTTAAAACCACTACACTACCAGAGCTCCTTATTTATTTATTATCATTTTTTAAGGAGCCCTGGTGGTACTGTAGGATAAGCACTGGAATGTAATTAAAACTCATAGAAAAGCTACCAAACAGTACACTGAATTTCCTTTTACCTAGATTCATCAGTGACTAATACTCTGCCACATGTACATCGTTATTTTTATACTCCCTGTATCCATTATTTTGTGAACGCTTCTGTAGCTTAAGGTACAAGATGTTGCAGGCTTTTCTTGTTATTTTCCTGCCCCAATCCTGGAATCAACATTTCGTTAAAAGCCTTGTTCCTTTTAGGGCAGAATGGTAGTTACCAAGCAAGAGAACTGTGCCTTAGGTCTCTCGGCTTTTACGGCTTCCTGCTGCCAGGTGGATTCCGCCTCAGACTGATTGGAAAGGACGGAGGAGAACTGTGCACAGGATTCCCTAGACTAAGTTTTAATGGAAGCAGATTGTCAGTTCTCTTCTCCTGCAGCGTGGCTGGTAGATTTGAACAGCTGGTCTTTTGGCTTATAGCCAAGTGCTTAACCATTGTGTCACCAAGGCTGCTTGTACACATTGCTACTTGAGTGTTACTGTTTCTAGGCTGTCTCAACAGACAGAGCTAGGAATTATATCTTAAAAAAACAAACAAAAAACACAAACAAGTTTTTACTTCTACCTCTAATTCCAATCTTATTTAGTAATGTTTTTCTCTTCTTCCCCCCTTCCGTATTGTATCTCCTTTTCCCTTGGAGGCTATGCTCTGGATGCTTATTGATTTAATGCTCTTTCAGTTAATTCAGAATATATTTTATGAATTGGAAAGTTAAAGTAAGGGTAACAAACTGCATTCTATGGGAACATTAGCCAAGTCCTTAGCAAGAATTTGAGGAAGATACATGTGGACCATAGCTGTGAACTCAGGGGGTTTGCTCATCCAAAAAGGAACAGTTAGAAATTCATTTGGAAGGGGCATTGTCAGGTTCCAGCATCTCTCTAAGGGGTGACACTTAGAAATCAATGCTATGGATAACACGAATAAAAAGACAGGACTTAATGATCAAGAAATGACACCAGGGGCTGTTTTAGGGCTATCAA